AATTGTTTTTGCAGTTAATTTATATTCTTTTCATGAAAATAGCACGAAAATAATTGTACAGCTGAACTGATCAGGTACCTCGCGCACATTTCCATTCATTATTAATTATGTATTGCTTTATTAATTACAAATTTTGTACGAATTTACTCTATAAACATTCATTTACCCTTTTATCAACTTTTTTTATCATAATAAGTCGATTAATAGCTTTTTTATACGTTTTTTTACATGTCTACCTAATGTCTACCTAAAGTCCGCTTAGTTAAGTAGACATTACGCAAATCGAATCCGCCAGGGTAGTCTGAATTTAAAAGTCTAAATCAAATTTTTGAATTTCCAATTTTTTTAATAACATTGTAATATAAGAATTCGTTATGTTCAACTTTTTATAAGTAAAACAATAATGTTTTTAGTCTGTTGGGTATTAAACGCAATCTTAGCTGCACACCAATGAAAAATATTAATTTAAACAAAAATATGACACTTTCAAAAAATTTAACATTTTTTATTTTTTGATAATTCTTTACTAAACGTTCTTTATTTAAAATTTTGTGACCAATTAAGTATGCTTTTAACAAGAAATTTTAAGAATTTTATCAGAATTTTAAAATTAATAATTGCAAATCTGAATATGAAATCAGATATTGTAAAAATAAAAAATCGAAAATTACTTTTTTACTCTTTGAAATTAACAATTATTATATTTAAATTATTATTATTATTGAATATTATTATTATTATTATTATAGATACAAATTATTTTTAAATATAATAAAACTTAATAAACTAAATAAACTAAATAAACTTAAATATAATATAATAAATATAATAAAATTAAATTATTTTCATTTTATTTAAAAGAAATTTTTCTATTAAAAATTTATTCTTCAAATAATTTTTAAAGTTTTTTAAAATTTTAATTTAAATTGTATTGATTAAAATAATTTTTATTTTCAATACTATAAAATTAAATACAATTTTAAATTATTTTAATTTTATTAAAAGCAGTGAAGAAATTAAATTGAATTGAATAAATAATAATTAAAAATTTATAAAAAGATATTTTAATACAGGAGAACACGTATAGTTGGATGTAATTATAAATTTCAAAATTTATTAAATCTAAATATTATAACCGTCGAAGACGGGTGCGACAGCTAGTAAACTATATAAATTGAGGAGCAATTTTTCAAAAGCTATAATAAATCCAAATTTTGTCATATTGGAAAATTTAAACAAATGATTAAAAAATAAAAATGATAAATCATTTAGATTAGGCCTAAATATTTACGAAATTGAAAACTTTTTGGTAATAAAATTATTTTTCTTATAAATTTAATATTTAATTTGGTGAAAAATGGATTTATTATAGTTTTTGAAAAATTGCTCCTTAATTAATGTAATCGCTTCAAGTTTGATATCGCAAAATAATAAAAAGACCTCCTTTTGCTGCACATAAAAGATTTAGAATTAGCAATAAACCTGTGGCATAATCGCAACTGATGTTTAATAGCCAATGATTTTAGTAAATTTACTCTCGACATATTTGCTTTTGAATCTAATTTTAGTTCCCTATTTTTGGACTCGAAACGTCGTGTACTAAGATTTGCACACTCTACAACTTTATATTATCGACTTTTGAGTCGATAAGTAGGATCACTTGTCTATCAGTAAGTTGTAGAGTGTGTGGAAGATTTTTTTTTTTACAACCAGATATCTGTAGAGTAGTGGTTAGGGTCTTTAGCTAGCGCGCGGCGAATGTAGGTTCAATCCCCAGCACCCCATAATTTGTTTTCAAAAGTTCTTGCTCAACAAGCATGCAGTGCTTGATTCAATGTGAATCAAAGCAGAGCAACAATGTTTGTATATTATTTATTTTATTTTTAATCCCAGATAGTAAATTTTTTTTATTGATAATAATAATAATAATAATAATAATAATAATAAAGATCTATCTATCTATTATTATTATTAATATTAATAATAATATTAATACTTCTTAAATATTATTTTTGTATTTTTTACAAATATTTTCGTCCAACCTTTTCTGAAAATTTAATTTAAATTTTTAGGAAATGTTCGTCACAAAAATTGACTGAATATTTAAATTACATTTTCACTCAACTTTCGGTATAAATTTTTAATAAATATTTAATTTAAATTTTTAGTCAACTTTTACGCCAAACATTTCACGAAACTTTAATTTAAATCTTCACTCAATTTTCGCGTCGAAAATTTCTGGAAAATTTAATTTAAATCTTCCGTCAAGTTTTACGCCAAACATTTACTCATTTTTGACATTTAAATCTTTATACAATTTTCTCTAAACTTTGCAATTAAAGTTTCCGAAGTTTGCAAATAAATCTTTAGGAAATTTTCGGTGCTGTGGGGGCGATTATCTTCAGAAAGATCCAAATACTGACGTCCCAGTTCTGTAGCATAATACTGAAAAGATCTTATACTACTTTCAGGTACGCATTTACTTAAAACAATATCATACACTCGTTGAAGGTTTAAATATAATCACCCATCAAAACCCCAAAAGTTCGAACAAAACATTGCATTTCGGATCCTGTCATTTTTAACTTTCCGTTTCTTAAGTTTTCATCAGTTATAAACAATTTTGTTTTATGCAAAGCTGAATAAGGGCCAAAAGTAAAAAGATTCAATCTACTGTTCAAATCTACCAATCGAAAGCCACCTGATTCAATGAGTTTTTTTCAGAACAAATGTCATCACCTCATGAGCAATACCCTCATCAAAATCATGTAAAATATCTCCCTCAAGATTTTCAGTTATATGAAAAGATTCTACTTCATTTAAAGCACAAACACCTGAGATTCCCGTGTTCTCTTGACTGTTTCTTTGTACATCCTGTTCGTAATTTATTCTGTTTCTAAAAAGATTTTCGTCTATTTGTAAATTGTTAATAATTTGAGTTTTGTGAAATTTACAATAACGGCAACGATAGTTTGCCGTTGAAAAATTGCAAACGAAACCACAGAGTTGGTGGATTCCTAAGTTGTCGCCTAACAATAACGCTAATACGAAATATACACGAATTTCTTCACCATTAGGTAATGTTACGGGAATTCCATCTTTTTCCAAAAATTTTAACTCTTCAAGTAAAGGTGCTATAATTTCTTTAACTGAGAAATCGTCTTTATCTTTAGCATTAAATAAAATAGACAAGAATATATTTTCTACGCGTGATGCTATCTCTGGAGGTAAACATGCTATGGCGACATATATTCCGCCAATTTTTGAACAATGAGGTCCAAGAGGGTTATTTGGTTCGAAATCGTCATAATATACAAATAATGGAAGGACAATATCGGTAGATTTGAATTTCGAGATCTTTTTCTTCCATGCATCAGTCTGAATATAATTACAAAGATGCGAAGTGTTTTTATTTAAATAGTCTCTGTAGGATAAAATACTCGAAAGCGAATCGGGTAATTCCAAAAAAATTTTTAAGACTGGGGCTAAAGGAATATCTTGAGCAGTAACTTTAACCCACTTATGAATAATCCCTGCATCTGTTTTTACTTGTTTTAGTTGTTTTCCAATTTCGAATTCATTTGGTGATACGTAGTGACCACTTTCCATAAAATATTTAAGACGCTTATGTTCTGTGCTTAAATGAGAGAAAGGGGACTCTAAGGCATTAAACATTTCGGTAATTTCAGTAATAATTTCTGGATTTGCATTACATGATGTTAAAGCTTTTAATACTTTTTGTTTTAAAACATCCATAAAACCATTGAGCGATAGAAAATTTTCTGTGTTATTTATTATTTCTTGAACCATGTTTCTAGAAAGGACAGATTTAGAATAATATTTACTCACGAAAGCATCACTTTGATATTTAAGTCTTTCAAGGAACGTATCTACAGATAAAATTAAATCTTGAACATCTTGAATATTTTCGGCGTTATCAGTAACCACACCCTACTGAAAATCCCTGTACAAGATCTTGTACAATTTCCTGTACAGGATCAGCAACTGAACTTGTAGAAGTTCTGACCAGTTCCTGTACAGGAAAATGCATACGAATTTGGAACAAGTTCATGTGTGAGATGTTGTACAAGATCTGGTGCAAGATCTTGTACAAGAAAGATACTTGTACAAGAAAATGTACATGTTCTTGCACATGTTAATTCGTGTTTTTCTTTACTAAAAATTAAAAACTTCAAAGGCTGCGCAATAGTTTACATTAACCTTTACAGCTGCGCAATAGTTTTTAGCATGCATGAGTTACGAATCTTAGTGGTTAAAAATTATCAAAATCTCAAATTTGATTAAAAAAAAAAAATTTACAACTATACATGTGCAAGAACATGAACGTGTTCATGTACAAGTACTTATACATGAAATTGTACAAGATCATGTACATTTTCTTGTACAAATATCTTTCTTGTGCAAGATCTTGCACCAGATCTTGTACAAGATCTCACACATGAACTTGTTCCAAATTCGTATGCATTTTCTTGTACAGGAACTGGTCAGAACTTGTACAAGTTCAGTTGCTGATCCTGTACAGGAAATTGTACAAGATCTTATACAGGGATTTTCAGTAGGGCACTATCATCATATTCATTCGATTGGAAATTCACATTTTGTTCAAGCTGAGGTTCAGGTTCATTTTGAGGGATCGAAGAATCACGATTTTCAACGTGCTCCTCAATGTGCCTACAAAATGCTTTAACGCTACTAAACTTTCTGCAACAACTCTCTTCTCCGCATTGGTAAACGCTTAATATATTATACTTATGAACTATTCTAAGATGAAACATTAAAGCTTTTGTAGTGCTAAAATCACGTTTGCATTCGATGCAAATAGGCATTTTTTAAAAATGTTTAAAAGCGCAACATAAAATAATATAATTAAATATATTTTTTAAAAAAAGGAAAAAGTTCCGTGATAAAGCGAATTTCTAAACAGAGGATTTTTTGGCCGAACAAGAATCTAATTTCGCTTTGAAATTTTCGTATTCTTTTATCGTTGTCGTTACACCCGTGAAGTGGTCGTCAAAAGACTCATTGATTCCGTAGACCACTTTTTGAATGAACAACCATAGTTGTTTTGATTCCGGCGGATAAGGCGTGTGAAGCGCGAAAAAGATTTTAAACAAAACATCTATAGCTTGGAGAGCCGATTCTACCTGATAGAAAAATTCATCGATACCACATTTATTCTTGAAAATTTCTTGAAATTACCTTGACTTCCTTGAACCCTGTTGGATTTCTCAACAAAATTCCAGCTCAAATTGATTTCTTATTTTACGTGAAAAATTATAAACAAATTAATATTGTGACTATCACGTGTCATATTTATTTAGAAAAAAGATATTTATGAACTCACCAATTCGTATGCCCTATTTTCTTGAAAAACAGGATACTTTACTTTGTAGTCATAAAGAGTAGGACGTTGTTTTGTTTTCTGACTTTTCTTCGCAGCAGCTGTTTTTGAAGTTTCATCACCTGCTTCGGCTGCAGAATTCATCTCATCGTCTATATCCTCACCATGAATCAATCGATAGAGTCGAATCTTTGATGTTCTTTGCCAATGATCAACGACTTGGGACCAGTTTGATTTTGTGCCTCTATTTTGCTCTAACCAACAAAGACTACCAGCAATTGATTTGGTACATTCCACCTCTAGAAAAAAAATTATCAATTTAGATAGTGACAATTGAAAGTAAATTATAATTTCGTTTTAATTAATAAAATTGTTAATACAACAGTTTGGAATAAAATAAGAAAAATAATAAATTATTTTCTAAATGAAAATAATTTATTTACCTGTTAAGGGAATTTCATGATCGCTACTTGATGGTTTCAATTTTGATATCGCGCCGCAATTGGAAAGTTTTCTTCGTAAATTATAATATTTCCAGACTAGTTTGCCTTTTGCGGTCAACTTTTTTGTTTTGATATGTCTATACGCTTCAAAGTATGTCGTCTGCAAAATTAAAAAATATTTTAATATATTAAATTGAAAATTATTAATAAAAAATAAATGTGTAATTAAAATAAAATTCACTACTTCTTCCGTTAGGAATAAATGTATAATCTGCTCTGCAAGAAACTGAAGACGATTTCGAGGAATACTAAACAAAAAAATAATTAAAGAAAAATGAAATGAAGAAAATATAAATTAAAAATTATATGGCTTACGTTTTCTCCATGTCATCTGACAATTCGTTTTGCAGAATGCAGTCAACCAACTCATCTCTAGTGCAGTCTTTAAGAAATCCCTTATCTTGTTCAAAGGTTTTGAAAACTAAGACTCCACTAGCATTTGATTGCTTCATTACGATGTGCAGATCAGTTGAAATTATGAGTGAAATTTTTTTATACTTATTAAATGTAAAAATAATAATAACAACAATAATACATTACTATAATTTTTGGGAATAAAAGTTAGATGATTAATATTGTAATTTTAAATACGTACTGTCAACAAAAATAATAAGAGAGTATTTTCCCTAGAACACCGCACATGTAAACATTAGATTATCAGAATTTTCTATCATTTCTTATTCTTATTAATATACGCAACATTACTTCCTGCTATTGCAATTTGCATTTATATCGTGTAAGAAAATAAATGCAGGCTTCGCACTCATTAGTCAGTAAAAAAATAGTATCAAAAAGTAGCCTGAAAAGTAAAAAAAAAGTAGAAAAAAGTAAAATTAAAAATATTTGTAGTTTATATATTAAATTGTATTATTTTTTAAAAAATAGATACTTTCCGAAATGATTCTGGATGATATTTAGAGAACGAAATTAAAACAATTAAGTCAAAATTTTTATTATTTATCTTGAAATATGAGTTTAAAATGGAGAAGATATGGAAAACTCATTTTTTCAGCAATTAGAAAGATTATTAAAAATATAGACAACTCTTTTAAAATGTACAATGTATTACTGACTCTTGTTCAGAATTAATTAATTTATTATCTTTTATTGATTACACAGCCTCAGAAAAAAAATTAATTTTGTCCGGCGAAATTCTTACGTCTTAGTTCTTAGAGATAATCGGAAAATCTGATAAAAATCCTTAATTAGGGACAAAGATAATTTTTTGCCGAAACACTACGATATTGTATTTCCATGGATATACATTGTACTTTTTTCCACTGAATTCGAATTCAAAGTCAGAATTGAGAGATTAGCTTAAATTTTGGAGATAATGCCAAAAAACTGATTTTGAGTTTTTTTTAAATTTTTTGTTTATTTAGTTTTTTGCAATTATCTCAAAACATTTCAGCAAATCTAACAATTCTAACTTTGGATTTGAAATCAGTGGCTAAAAATACATGGAATTACACTATCGCAGTGTCATACAAAAATTTGATCACTTTTTGATTTTTTTTTCTTTTTTAAGCAGTTTTTTGAGTTTATCTCAAAAATAAGAGCCAACTTTTAAATTCTGACCCCGGATTCCGATTTAGCGACCTAAAATACGTAAGAATGACTAGTCTATTTTGCAGGGCAAAATTTTTTTTGTGAGGGTTTGTTAATTAAGTAAAAAAAATGAAAATAATAGATAAAATATGTTTTCAAAGTTGGTCTGTGAAAGTAAGTAAGTTTAAACAGCACACAAAAATGACACAAAAATTGGATCTACAAGGTGCTAAATATCTTGCGGTTACTTTAACCTAGCGCATTAACATTTATGTAAAATTGTGAAAAGTAGCCGGTTATCTATGTATATATTTCGGTGGTGGGGATAAATCACTCTATTTTCTTAATTTCTAGTTTTTTATTTACCTATCTAGTTTATTTTTATTTTTATTTAGATATTTATTTTTATCTAGTTTTTTTATTTTCTTCTAATTTCTAGAAAATTTTAAAATTTTTAAGTTTTTAATTAATATTTATTTAGGCATATTTGAAATTTAAAGAACTGATTTAATACCAATTTTTCACAGTTTTTCATAAATTTAAATGGGTTAAAGTAACCGCAAGATATTCAGCACTTTATAGATCCAATTTTTGTGTGCTATTTAAAATTACTTAAAACCATATACAGATTTTCAACTCATTAGTCGGCAAAAAAGTAACAAAAAGTTGTCTAAATAGTGAAAAAGTAGCTTTTAGTAGGCCAAGGTTGAAAAAAGTAACCAACCATCAAAAAAGTAGCAAATAGTAGCTTTTATTCAAAGAGTGCGAAGCCTGTAACTGATAACAAGATGGCTAAAATTAGTTCAAAGTTTTGTAGATGTAGTTGATTTATTTTTAATCACGCGTGTTGTCAAGATTAAAATAGAAAGTTGGTGCCTTATGTGGTAGAAAAATTGTTTGCAAAGACGGTAATTTAAAAACTTTTTTCTTCACAGAAAGTCAAAAAAAGATCTTCCAAACTTTTATGAATAAAAGTTTTTCTTTAAATAATTTAAAATTTTCAACGATAGAGTTGCCGTTAATATGTTCAGATAATATTTTTTGACAATTTACACACAGAATCGATAAAAAATTTTGAATTATTTAAAGAAAAAGTTCTATTCTCAAAAGTTTGAATCATCTTTTCTTGATTTTTTGTGATGAAAAAAGTTTTTATATTACCGCCTTTGCAAAGAAATTTCATACTATATAAGGCACAAATTTTTTACATTTTAATCATGACAAAACGCGTGATTTAACTTGTAGTAAAAGTCATTTTTAAATAGAATAAAAAAAATAACTTAATCTACAAAACTTTGAACTAATTTTAGCCAACTTGTTGTCATTTATTTTCTTACAGGATATAAATGCAAATTGCAATAGCAGGAAGTAATGTTGCGTATATTAATAAGAGTAAGAAATGATAGAAAATTCTGATAATCTAATGTTTACATGTGCGGTGTTCTAGAGAAAATACTCTCTTATTATTTTTGTTGACAGTACGTATTTAAAATTACAATATTAATCATCTAACTTTTATTCCCAAAAATTATAGTAATGTATTATTGTTGTTATTATTATTTTTACATTTAATAAGTATAAAAAAATTTCAAAAGTAATTTTAACTGGTCAGCACATCGTACTGAAGCAATATTTCATTATAATTTGAAATATAAACAATTGTTATTTAGTGAACACTTTCAGACTTTAACTGGAATCTGCACTTTTTATATTTAAAACACTTTACATTTGGTAATTAAATTTCCTTTTACATCAAACTTTTATATATTTCAACTTCACAAATTGTGGAATATTCACTTGTATTATTATAGACAAACTCAATGAATTTTACCTTAACGCATGAGGAACAAATAATAATCTCAACTATTCTTAGTGAGAGTAAAACTGTATTTTCTTCCGCCTTGCGGGGATAATAAATTAGATCTCCTTGAACAATAATTTGGTGGCAATGATCAAACCCTGTTTGTATGTAATTTTAAGTAGTGGGAGGGTTGATTTTGCAATCAGCACCTGTTTCCATGCAAGTTTTAGGAAACTTGCATTTTATTAGTTGCGTGATCGGTTCAACCACCTGAATTACCTTTATGATTTCTTTATATTTGGTAATTTTCCAAACTAATGTGGCAACTTTTATACATTGTAAGTGTCACAATTAGCAAAGTTGATTATACTTAAGTTCATGTTATTTCGCAATATTTTACCATGTGAGTAGTACTCATATGGTAAATTTATCATATGAACACTACTCACTTGATAAAATTGTCGGTGAACATAGTTTTCCTAAAAGTATCAAATTGAGACCAAAAATTGCATCAAATCTTTGCAACGTTTTGATGCACATAAGTTATATCAAAAAGAGATCGTTTTGTGTATCATTTTTAGAAATGATACACGAAACGGTCTCATTTTTTGATGCAAAAAATTAAATCAATTTATATCAATCATGGCCGAATTGAATCAATTCAAAATTAAACGAATTTTTTTCAGATATTTTGGTAATAGTTCAATTGCGGAGACCATTTCACTATTTAATTTGAAAATGAAAATAACAGAAAATCAAAGACAATGTGCAATTCGATAATTAAAAAGTGACAGCTTATAAACATAACCTAAAATGCACGAGAAAAAATTTGTCGTTAAAATCAATATAGCCGAGCTTTTTAGAAGGTAGATGGCAGCACTCATCTATTTTATTTCTTTAAATTTTTTCTGAATCGTTTTTATAAAAAGCAAAACTGCCATCTACCTTCTAAAAAGCTCGGCTATATTGATTTTATCGACAAATTTTTTCTCATGCATTTTAGGTTATGTTTATAAGCTGTCACTTTTTAATTATCGAATTGCACATTGTCTTTGATTTTCTGTTATTTTCATTTTCAAATTAAATAGTAAAATGGTCTCCGCAATTGTACTATTACCAAAATATCTGAAAAAAATTCGTTTAATTTTAAGTTGATTCAATTCGGCCATGATTGATATAAATTGATTAAATTTTTTGCATCAAAAAATGAGACCGTTTCGTGTATCATTTCTAAAAATGATACACAAAACGATCTCTTTTTGATATAACTTATGTGCATCAAAACGTTGCAATAGAAAAAGATACAACCAAGTTTACTGTGAATCTGTCACACTTCGCTTTTATTTCTTTTTAAAATTCATATTCCAAATCGGCTTTTTTAGACTTCGAAACATTTATTCTATTCATTTATAATGCAAACTCGAATAAACAAACGTCAATTCAAATGTTCAAGAGAAAAGAATTCATGGTAAGAAAAACATAATTCACCGTAACGTTCCAATTCGGATTTTTCGCCAAACCGAATTCAGCTTAAAACACCAGTTACCACCAATTCTTTTCGTTTACTCCCAGTTCTTTTTTTGTTTACTGGGAAGTCAGTGTGGCTTGTTGGTAAAACTCTGGACTTGTGTGCCTTGAGTTCGGGGTTCAATTCCCCGGTTGGGTAAATTTTTTTCGTGAAATAATATTTTTCTAATATTACTGCAATATCCTCGTGTATTATTACCTTAATATTACGGTATAATATTACTATAATGTTACTGTAATATTAAGTAATATTATCCGGTAACATTATTATGAGGCGGACACTTTAATATCACTGTAATATTACAGTAATGTTACCGGATTATATTGCTGTAATATTACGTGCTACTTGGGTACATTGCAAAACAATGTGTTTTTTTATGCATTGCGATTTTCAATAGGGAATTGAGTTTATTTAAATTGAAAATTTGCTAGCTACATACCAAACATTAACTGTAAGCGAAATACTGATCTAAAACTGACTGTTGAATCTATACCTGCTTTTGAAAGTTAATGCTTGTCAGGAAATTGGAATTAATATAGTTTCGTAGCTGATGGTAGCTTTCCTTCTTTAACTTGCTGTTGTATTCAAAAATTGTTACGGTTTCCTCCTGATATTATAGATTCAATACTGTGTTTCCTGTTTGTACTGCTGGCGCATGGCGGAGGTATAATTAAATTTTTACTTGTTTCAATATATTGTTTACAAAAATATACTTCTTTATTGCTTTTATTAGTTCAAGCTTTAATATTTTTATATATGTACTTAAAATTTTCACATATATTTTCTAAGAAAGGGGTTTTTCTCGCTATTTTGATCTGAAATATTGAGATTCGCCATCTGGTGACGACCCCCTTGTGTCAGACATTTTTCATTTCGTCTCTCTTTTAACCTACGTTTAAGAAAGAAATAAAAAATCAAAATGTCTGTCAACGGGGTCATTTTTCCATGACTTCCTACGATTTCAGATCCCTAAAGCTAATTTGTAAGCAAAATTAATTTTCCATATTCTTTGTTTCTAGAGCTCGGCCAGTACAGTCGTCGGATATCGCACCAGAAGTGCCAGTATTTACTCCAGGAGCTGGTGGACGGAATCTCCGACCTCAAGCTCCACATGCATCCAAACAAACTCTCAATACTGATAGTGAAGAAAACAGTTCGTCCTTACAGACAAATTCTGAAATAAAACCTGTTAATGAAGAAAATGAAAAAGATGAAGACATCGTTCAAGTGCTATCTCACTCAGGAGCTGTTTCAAGCTTCCATCCCACATCCAGTAACCTTGTGACACCTGCGCCACAACCAATTCCTGTTCAATATCGTCCTTTACCAACTGTTTCCGTAACGAAACCAACTTTACTTCCTGATCAAAATATTCTTCCAGTCCAATATCGTCCACATAAGGGAAAGTCTCACAAACAAATTGATGACATTTCAGATGGGCGATCTGCGTATGATCAAACTACAATTCATTTTAGATCGAAACCAACGAAACAACAAAAATTAACAGAAGACATTCAAGACAGTCAATCTTTATACGATCAAGGATCGATTCAGTATAGAACGAAAACATCTAAACCTCACAAATCGAGTGAAGAGATTCCAGAGAGTCGATCTGATTTTGATCAAATTTCTCTTCAATACAGATCAAAACCATTAAAACAACATAAGTATATTGATCAGGATTCCCGATCTTACAATAAGCCAAGGCAGCCACCTAAAAAATTAACAGCAGAGACGGACTACTATACGACGCGACCAAAGAAACCAGTAGCACAGGTAGATTTTTTAAATATAGATCCAAAAACACAACCAATAAAGACATATAATATACATCATATTTTACCATTTTTAAGAATTCAATAATGTTACAAAGCAAAATATCCCAACTTTATAAGTTTGCAACATAAAAGGTTGCTGCAAACTTGCAATCAAAGATTAAGCAATGTTGATGTAATCTTGTAAAAATCCTTCTCAATGACTTTACTTGGATTCTCATGCCATAAGAAACAAAAAATTAAGAAGAATTCAAATTTTGTAATTTTTTATGCATTCCATTTGTATTCATTTAAAAAATTTATTCTGAAAAATATTTCTCAAAACAAAGTAAAATTTTTCTTTTTGTTTTTCGACCAGGCAACATTACCACAGTGATAAGAAATAACAACTTACTACACTGAAAAAAAATTTATTTTGATCAAATAAAAAGTATTTGATCCAAATACATCATTTACTTGTCTATTATCCAATAAATATGTATTTGAACCAAATACACATTTACTAAACCTAAGTATTTTATTTTATCGTATCAAATAAATAGTTATTTGAATCAAATACAAAGTATTCAAATCAAATAAATGGAATATTCAAAGCTAATAAATAATTATTTGAATCAATTATGAAAATTATTCCATTACTAGACATAAGTATTTTATTTCATCGTATCAAATAAATGGAATATTCAAAGTTAATAAATAATTATTTGAATCAATTATGAAAATTATTTCATTCAATACTGCATGTTTTTTGATTCAAATAAATATTTATTTGCATTAATAAAATATTTTTCTTGAAACAACTAAAAATTTTCTTGAATCAAATATTCGATTATTTCCCACACAGCACAGTATATTGCTGTAAGATTACTTCAAGCTTACATGTAATTTTTGTAAGCTAACCCTGTAAGCTTCAGGTAAGGTCGAGGTAATATAAAAATGTCCGCCATACAGTAAGCTTACACAGTAATGCCATGGTAAACTTACATGGTAAAGTCATGGTAAGCTTACATGGTAGGGGCACTGTAAGCTTACACGGTAAGATCACTGTAAGGTTACAGTAAGCTTACACGGTAAGCTTATATTAATTGCTAACAAATAACAAAGTATTAATTTATCAACTTACAGTAAACAATAAATTGTTTTGCACAATTATATTTATTTTGTCATTTATATAAAAAACCCCGGTAGGGTTTGCTTAAAAAAATTTACTACGCATTCGTAAGTGCCATAGAAAGCTACTGCGCATAAATATTTTAAAAAATTATTTATTGATACCTTTGAAAACTTGCCGTGTAAGCTTACTGTAACCTTACAGTGACTTTGCCATGTAAGTTTACTATGGCCTTACTGTGTAAGCTCACTGTATGGCGGACATTTTTATATTACCTCGACCTTACCTGAAGCTTACAGGGTTAGCTTACAAACATTACATGTAAGCTTGAGGTAAGCTTACAGCAATATACTGTGCTGTGTGGGTTGTCATAAGTAATTGTTTTAATTGAAACTAAAACCTCTTTCATTGCGGCAATTATTATTTTATTTAATCCAAATACATAATTTATTTGCATAAAATGTAAGAATTTTTTGATTCAAATAAATCAAAATTTGAATTGAATATAAAATTTACTAACTCTTCCATTTCTAAATTAAATTCTTACTCAAATAAATAAATTAAAAAATACGTAATTTCTACATACTATGATCGCATATTTTCATTTTTCAACTAATTCATACATAGAATTAAGGTTTAAACGCAAACCTGAGAAATAAATAAATCTAACGCATGGGGAGAATCGAACCTACGGAATATGAGTTTCACGCTTTACCAGTGATGGGTTGTGACGCGTCACACGAAGTTTTGTACGTATAATACGTTTTCGACGTAATATACGTATAAAATGTATAAAACCATGTAGAAAACCACTGACATTTTGACATCTGTATATGATCCTCTGATTTTTGCCATAACGAATTTTTCTTATCATTCTATTTAAATTAAAGTCTTAAAACCCTGGCGGATTCGATTTACCTAAAATCGACCCAGCTGGGTCGAATCTAAGTCGAATCTAAGTCGAATTTAGGTAATTATCAAAAAAAAGCTTTAAATTGATGAAAATTTATAAAAATTAGTATTGTGAGGTTAAATGAACATTCATAGAGTTAATTTTTGTAAGAATTTTAATTATTAACGTGATAAATAATAAATAATTACTTGATATGTGCAAGTGGTAACTGTAGATTTTAACTCGTTGTCAGTTTTCATAATATTTTCAGAAATTAGTGTAAAATGTGTGAAAAAATAATTTATATTTAATAGAAATTGCAAATTTTATTAAATTATTTTATAGGGGGGGAATAAAATAGAAATTCAGAAAAAGTAAAAGAAAATGATTTAAAGAGGGTTTGCCCTGGGAAAAAATGAAATTTGAGCGGATGAAAGAGCTAGGCACTGATAAAAATGTTGCTAAATGTTTAATTTGTCAAAACATTATGAAAAACACTGGCTATAAGCGTATTATTATTGTTTATAAAGTTTTTATTTAAAAATTGTTTATTTTGGGAGATACCAAACGACTAGACTGACAATATAATACTTAGAATACAGGTTATGTTATTATGCACGTGGCCCGGTGTTCACTCTTATCTGTGAAACCAACTTAGAAATAAAACCGATATAAAAACATTTCAATAATTAAAAATTTTGTTTTATAATTGTTAAAATAATTAATAATTACCTAAATTTTGTTTATATTAACAACTTTTTCTTTCAATAGTGTAAACCCACACAGCACAACTTCTTACACCAGGCCTACAGCAGGCTTACATGTAAGGTTTGTAAGGTAACATCGTAAGCCCATAGTAGACTTACAGTAAACCTAAAATGTCCGCCTTACAGTAAGCTTACATGGTAGGGTCGAGGTAAGCTTACATGGTAGGGTCGAGGTAAGCTTACACGGTAAGGTCGAGGTAAGCTTACACGGTAAGGTCGAGGTAAGCTTACATGGTAGGGTCGAGGTAAGCTTACATGGTAGGGTCGAGGTAAGCTTACATGGTAGGGTCGAGGTAAGCTTACACGGTAAGGTCGAGGTAAGCTTATGAGTAAAGGCTGTGGTAAGGTTATTATTAAGTTGTAAGGTTGAGGTAAGGTTGTGGTAAGCTTACAAGGTAAGGCAAGTTATATTCAAATAATAATATTAATAATAAATAAATATTCAATAAAAAAATTTTTCTTTTGCCTTATTCTATTTTGGGAACCTATCATTTCGCAGAAAGTTTTAAAAACAAATTTGGGAGGAGTAGGATTCGAACCCGGGACCGAAGTATATACCTAACAACCTAACCAACTGAGCTAAACGGGGAACTGACAATGAGAAAAGTAATCTTACTTTTAAAGTGGAACCCTACCATGTAAGCTTACCTCGACCCTACCATGTAAGCTTACTGTAAGGCGGACATTTTAGGTTTACTGTAAGTCTATTATGGGCTTACGATGTTACCTTACAAACCTTACATGTAAGCCTGCTGTAGGCCTGGTGTAAGATGTTGTGCTGTGTGGGAAGTAATGAATGATGTATTTTAATGAAGAATTTAAAATTGCCGCTCTTAAATCACGTGATCAAATGTAATATACATCGTGTAGAAAACTTGGCACGTAATATACACTGAGAAAAAAAGCACGCCGTTTCAGCGGTAAAGTCATGCAGTTTCTGCATTAGTGACACTGCAAACAGAAAACGGCTGTTTTGACATTGGAACACTGCAGTTTCTGCATTGGAATACACAGCAGTTTTTGGCAGTGCTGTACAAACTTAAAAATTAATTTTTAATTCTTTTAAAATACATTTCTTAAACATCTTATAGTTAATTACTATATAGTAATAACAAATGTTTTTATAATAATTATAATTTATTTCATAATAATATAACTTATTAATATATATTTAGGGTAAAATGTACAGTGACCGACACCCAGACAGTGAACGACATCTGCTATTAAAAACGATAATATCTATAAAAATAATAATATTGAATTAAATATCACTAGTAAATTAATTAATATGCAATATTTAAAAACTTATACAGTTTATACAAAATTTTATATGTTTATATTTTCCTCAATATTTAATACTTTCTAGAAAACTAACCTTAAAAAAATTTGCTTTATTGATTACAAATTTTATAAATATGAAAATATTGTTAAATAATTATATTTTAAAAGCAACTTTTTTTGTACATTAAATCTGAATAATAAAATTTATGATAATACTAATAAATATCATGTTACTTAAATAGAAGTTTAAATATTTGTTATTTTATTAAAGGGTGTCGTTCACTGTTTTCATATACCATACATTTTTAAATTAATATTATAAACTCTTATCAAGGTGTTTTTTAATTTTAAACTTGTGTACTATAAATTTTAACCCAAATCTTTTATTTAAAATTTATTTTATAACTAAATCTTTAATAAATTACGATAAAATGTCATTTAAAGTTGAAAGTATGCCCAGGGTGTCGGTCACTGTATCCCTTACCCTATGCACCAAAAAATTAAGTCAAATGACAAATATAGAAATTAATTTAATTAATAAAATAAATAAAAAATAATAATAATAATAAAATAATGAAAAAAACGACACAATGAATAAATATACGCAAATGCGCGTCTGAGAGAAACACAACGAACGGGACATGTGACACGGTAGTTATAGCAGAAAACTCATGCAAAAACTGCAGTGTTCCCCACAGTCGTTTCAGCGTTCTTAAGCAAAGCTGAACCCACATGAGTGGATGGCGCTATTTTGGCATCGTTTTTTTCTCAGTGTACGTAGTATTATACACGTAGAAAACCACGTATTATACGTCATGTATTATACGTACCCATCACTGCGCTTTACCAACTACGCTACGCACGCTACGTGAAAACGAATGTTAACTTCTTGATGTCATTTAAACTTGCAAAAGACCTAACTCAGAAAAGTGCTTAACATCATTTAGTTA